GAATATGGGCATATGGTTTTTGGCCCATAACTCAGTCATCTTTAGTCCAATCTTGATGAAATTTCATACACGAGTTCAGGAGACCACTAACTACAAGTAGAGCACCTAAAATCTGAGTTTTGGGCATGTTCAGGGTATTTGGCTAAATTGGGCCTAATTTGGACCAAATATGGGCGTGGCTGCTCCGCGGGCACCGTTTGGCGGTTAGGGTCCGGGACCCCCTCAAAAGTTCGGTCACTGGTCCTAGTTTGTTGGTCAACTGCTATCTCGAAATCAAGTTTCACAAAAAAATATCCATTGTCCCCCCCCCCCCCTTAAACAAGCGCGTCACGCAGTACGCTTAGACTCATGGCTATACTAGGTGAAATGTGCTATATATACATCGTATTGTTATCGTACGATAATCTAAAACATCACAATAACCCTTGTAGCGCGATGTGTTACTGGACCGCGCCGCGCATCCAATAATGCTTCTCGCAACCGACCACCTTCGTTAAATCGGCGAAATAAGATGCACTACTGGGCCTCGCCGAGCTGCGAAGAATTGACATCGTCAATTAACAATAACTCCTTTTATTTAGTACAGGTAACGTGATAACATGTTATGAAACACGCTGCATGCACCATTACATATCATAAATCTCATTAAGTTAAACAATAGAATAGTTAAAATTGACACGCTTATTGGTTATGATATTGATCATAATCAATAATTTTGATTACCCACACAGAGAACAGTCGACTGTTGGAGGACTTCGCCGCTTCGACGCGCCGCGCTTGACATACGTTGCATGCCAATTTTCGCGCGCGAAGCGCGCGCCGCCGAAGGGATATTGGGATACGAAACATGTATCAACGCCGCGCAAATTAGCATTCTTGCTTCGATCATTGCTCTGCTTCGCAGAGCAACGATCTCGATGGATTGACATCGTCAATCAAAGTCGACTGATATGATGCACGCATTCCGATCTATTACATATCATCATCGAAACTACGAAAGTATATTCAATATTGTTTTCATAACTTTTGTTGCTGTGGTCGTATTTTATCCGGGAAAACACTAACAGTCCCATTGCATTTCATGAGCATATAGAATTCATTCCTGCAAAGTGCAACATGATTATCAAGCATTGCAAAGTTTCTTGTATCACGTCGCTATCACGTGACTATCACGTGACTGAAACAGTCAAATCGACAACAAAGTCAACAGGCTGAATCAGGAAACTTGGTTAACTGACGGTCCCAGACACACCAAACTGACACTCGGCCACAAGCACGCCAAAATCATCAAAAACCTCAACACTATACTCAGCAACAACAGACAAGATTACACTTACAGAACAGTAGTTCACCTCATCACGGGTCACTGCGGCTTAAACAAACACCTTCACACCATTTGCAAATCAAACACCAGTGCTTGTTTCCTCTCGACGGAGAGGAAACTTTCTCACACTTCCTTAGACAGTGTCCGGCTATTGCCCAAACTAGAGGTCAATATTTCCAGGACTACTACCTCTCTGTCAATGACATATTCGACAACCAACACATCACCACAATTGTCAATTTCGCAAACCGCACCAAACGCTTAATTGTGCCGGAAGAGCTGGATCAGACCGGGGTGACTTAAAGTATTATCTCATATGCTGTCTCGTCCCGTTTTACTTTTCCAAACCCAGCTGGCATTTAAGCGTATAATTTTGACTCATATCACTTCTTACACCATCCTCCACCATTCACTCTGATTTCACCGGCAACCTTCCCCAGGGTTGCCCCACCCGAGAGGTAGGCAGAGCATCTCAATGCTATCCTCTCGTGGGCTATCTTTGCCCAGCCTCTCTTTAAAAAAATTTTAAAAATCGGTCATCTTTATATCCAATACGATATAGTACAAAATAGCGCGCTTTTCTTATATATATATATATAATCCATGGCGAGTGAATTAGTGTGTAGTGAAACCGGCCGACCAGCGTAGTGTACTGATGTGTACATGAGTATAGTTTACTTTTGCTTACAATTTCTTGAATTACAGATACAAATTAAGTTCTACGGCAATTTAATTGAATTTCAAGGAATCATTATCAAGTATTTCCCGTATTTAATGCATAATTTATCAATATTTATTATGAAGTGAGCTTTGCTCTATCCAGAGCTCTCTCGCTTGCAGTAGCGCGCGACCGCCGAAGTACGCGTATACACATGGCTATGTGAAAAGTGAGCTGATTAGAGCTTATACTTAAAGTTATAGTGAATGGAAATCTAGCGACCGCCAAAACGAAACAGCGGGCGCAATTCTAGTTACAGTATGACTATGTGATCGATGTAATTAATCGAAACTTATTACAATTCTTAAGCCGTGAATGAATGGGAAATGTACATCGGAATTATGTCGAACATAAATAGTCTCGATCGTAAGGTAGCTACTCCTTCATGAATTAATCTAGTCTACAGATGTTTGAAACCGTTCCGATGTAGCGTGAACACCCTGTACATTGTGAAGTTTTGTACGTATAACTAACATTATAAACTATCATATCCAGGTACTTAGATCAAGATTCAAGATGCGAATAGATAAAATGGGGTACAATGGAGACTTGAAGTCGTCTATTCTCGATCAGCGTGCCTTATGGAATCTCTAAGACAAAGCCGAACCGCATGGAGAACAGCACTAGACACAAGAGAACGGTACATTTCAATAATTGTCTTTATTTGCTACAAGTTTTATTTCGCACGCGAAAAGGGGTTGCTAGTAGTAGTTGCAGCGTATGTCCAGTCTTTATGTTTAGTTTGTAATTATTATATAAGTTGCTGGGGTGGAATCGAAATCCCAAAACACAGGCTGAATAAAATTTGTGCAATTGCAAAACGATGTATGAGACTGCTATTTGGTAACATCCCCGATTTTGATCATAATTCATAAAGAATACTACTTTAACTTAACAATAACATGTGCACGTTGTTCGTTCGAGAACTTATAATAAACATATTATGGCTAGCATTAGCAAGAAATACTGTCTTGAACACACTAAACCGCTGTTCACTGAGCTGAAAATTATGAATCCGGAGAATCTGCACATGTATCATACATTTATGGAACTATTCAAAATCCTTAAATTTGATGTCCCTCAGTCCATTAAAGATAGCTTTTCAAGTTCTGCCCTAAAAATGAAAAACTTCGTTTGATCCCATTACTGAGATTAGATATCTCCCAACAGAACTTTCTGTACACCTCTACCAAAATTTGGAATGATCTCATCCCTAATAGCAATGTATAGTATAAGTATAACTATTACTATCAGTAAGGCTCTTTAAACATGCTATTGTCAAAGCCTACTTTGAGAATGACTCAAATCCGTTTGTCACCAAAAAGTACCTTTAACTTACCCAAAAACATAGTTTTCGGGTATTCTACTTGTAGCTGCTGGCCTCTTGAGCGCATAATTTAATATAGCAGGTTATTCCTTCATGAATTAATCTAGTCTACAGATGTTTGTAAACCCCCCTCCCCCCCCCTCCGTTATCAGTTTTACAAATAGCTATTCTGGTTTTCAGATTTTTTTAAATATGCGTAATTTGTCGCATATAACTGAAAAATCGAGATTTTTCGCGGCAAACGTCAAAAATCGCGGTATGTCCCGGAGAATTGGAAAAATCGCGATTCCGCAATCCGCACGTGCCGCAATTTCCTTTTGCCCTTGACTCACAATGACAATATTTTTACCGGTGATCGCAATCGTACCTTGGCTAAGCCCTATATTTTTCGGCTACGATCACTTGTACTCTGAGATTTTATTTTTAGTCCAACCGGGACTTTATTTTGTTTTATTTTTTTTATTTTTATTTTATTTGTTGTAGTTTATATACAATTGTTTTACTGGCATTTACTAATTGCACGACTAATTTGTTTTTTGTTATTGTTATGATCCTCCTTTTAGCTGATTATGATTGTAGTTTAGTCGTTAAGATGATGTTCTGTTCAATATCGTATATTAGTATAATTATTCGCTTTAATTTTTATCTCATTCATCTTTACTAGCCGCATCGAACATCTACAAATCCTTCCGGGTACTAGTAGTACAGCAGTAGCGAAGTTTCCGAGGAGTTAGTGCCACTCTTTTATTAGACATTTCAAAATTTGTTCGGTTGCTCGGTCTCTACTGCGATATTCTCTTTTTGATCCTTGAACCATGCAATCGACCCTACGATTCCAGCACATACTACTTATCGTAGTATTCACTACTACTTTGATTGTGGTGCTTTTATCTTCTTTCCTTGAAAATAAAGACCAAACCTTAAAACCAGCATCTACCATCGAAAGATATTCTCAAAAAAGTGAAAGTTCTCACTTTGGTAGGGAGGCTAAAAAAACTGACTATTCTTCTGGACAGATAAAATATCGCATTCAGTTCACATACGAAGGAAAATGTGTAGGTATATCAGAAAATAACACCCTAGTTGTATCTTACTGCAATCCTAATGTTAAACAAGCTTATGTCTATGATTCTACCGGCATATTCACGTTTGAAGAGACTGATCTTTGTGTTGGACTTAAGTTTGCGACAGATTTAGGACTAGTTCATTGTGAGCAGGCAATAAAGTTAGATTTATGGAATGGGAGTTTAACTCAAAGCGTAAAAAAAAGTGTCCTCTGTGTATCACCATTACACGATAATAAACCCACTTCAGAGCCAGAACTGGGCGATACTATTGCTCTTACATCATGTGATGAAAAAGCTTCTGCTGTACAATTGTTAGAAGAGCGATCATTTCTTAAAGATAGGGCAGCACTTTTGTTGCCGTACACTTCAAACAGTAAATGTGATTTTCCAGCCTGTGGGACTAACCATCATGCACCAAAACCTAAACATCTATCACCACTGAAGACAGAGAGATGTAACGAAATCTCAGACTGCGTAACAGTCGTGGTAAAGACTGCCAGGAGGCCTTTATTGGCAATAAGGTTGGCTAAATCGATACAAACAACCTTAAACCGGAACTTATACATGATTGTTATCGACGATGGACCTGATTTGCATCCTCCTGAAATCATGGACGAAATCGGTCATTTTCCGAACATGACATACATCATAGGTGATAGAGAGGACCTGGGTATCAGTGAGGGCCGGAACATAGGGGTGAGAATGGTCAAAACTAAATATTTCATAAATTTAGATGATGACTATGTTGTGTCTGAGCACACGGACATGCCCAAGATGTTAGAAATGTTGGATACAACGGACCTTTCCCTGGTTGGAGGAAAATGTAAAAGGAATTTCGCTGGATTCATGGAATTTCGCAATGATAAGGAAACTGGCAAATCAGCCCTGATGTACTATCCTGGTTCTTGTACGGTTAAGAGCGAGGAGTTGTCATCCTATCCCGGTTGTTACCGATGTGATCTAACAGCTAACGGCTTCATGGCAAGAACACGGGACATTTTAGATGTGGGCGGCTGGAGCAAAGAGGTAAAGATAGGAGAACACAAGGATATTTTCTTGAGGCTTAAAGCTGCAAGAAAAAAAGTCGTGTTTTGTGAAAACTGTATAATTCAAAACGTGCACTCGGACAAGGGAGTTGAGCTAAATGATGAAATTGAAAATTCGTTCAACAAAAAAGCTTACAGAAAGCTGCGATACAGGAGAAAACAGCAAATGGGTCATATATTTCTCAACCATTGGAATGTTGATAAGTTAATTGAAATAGAAAACAAAACAAATCCTCGTACATGGGATTGAAGATTTCGAGAAATGTTTGTTTGTTTGTTTGGGGACTGGTTTATTAGCCAGTCAATGTTTACGAATATAATAAATTTATTACATATTTATAAATGTATAACATTTTAAGTATTTTGCATACGTAGTAAACTAGCTTGGAAATCCACACTTTCTCTCAAGGTATATTTTTTAGTTTATTCCCACGTGTAATTTGCATGGAATTGATTGATTTAAAAGATTTCAATAAAAAATATGGTGAATATTTTGAATAAAATGTCAACACATTTGGTGAAAATTTTAGTTGGAATTATGAGAATGTCAGGCGTGGAGTGATAAAAATGATAAATTCTTCTATTTTTTGTTTGGTTTGGTAATTGGTTCAGTTATAAAACGTGACAGATAAAAATATATAATGGGTAGGAAAATGGTGAAGCTGTGCAAGACGCAAGTGATGAGGTGTAATTGTGGTGGCGCTAAAGTAGAGAAATGCATAAGATGAAGTGGTTCGGAGAGTAGGAGTTGTGTAAGGTAAATGTAGAATGTAGATAAAGAGCAGGAGTTCTGTAAGGTAAATGTAGAATGTAGATAAAGAGCAGGAGTTGTGTAAGGTAAATGTAGAATGTAGATAAAGAGCAGGAGTTCTGTAAGGTAAATGTAGAATGTAGATAAAGAGCAGGAGTTGTGTAAGGTAAATGTAGAATGTAGATAAAGAGCAGGAGTTCTGTAAGGTAAATGTAGAATGTAGATAAAGAGCAGGAGTTCTGTAAGGTAAATGTAGAATGTAGATAAAGAGCAGGAGTTGTGTAAGGTAAATGTAGAATGTAGATAAAGAGCAGGAGTTCTGTAAGGTAAATGTAGAATGTAGATAAAGAGCAGGAGTTCTGTAAGGTAAATGTAGAATGTAGATAAAGAGCAGGAGTTGTGTAAGGTAAATGTAGAATGTAGATAAAGAGCAGGAGTTCTGTAAGGTAAATGTAGAATGTAGATAAAGAGCAGGAGTTGTGTAAGGTAAATGTAGAATGTAGATAAAGGAGAGCAGGAGTTGTGTAAGGTAAATGTAGAATGTATATAAAGAGCAGGAGTTCTGTAAGGTAAATGTAGAATGTAGATAAAGGAGAGCAGGAGTTGTGTAAGGTAAATGTAGAATGTAGATAAAGAGCAGGAGTTGTGTAAGGTAAATGTAGAATGTAGATAAAGAGTAGGAGTTCTGTAAGGTAAATGTAGAATGTAGATGAAGAGCAGGAGTTCTGTAAGGTAAATGTAGAATGTAGATAAAGAGCAGGAGTTCTGTAAGGTAAATGTAGAATGTAGATAAAGAGCAGGAGTTCTGTAAGGTAAATGTAGAATGTAGATAAAGAGTAGGAGTTCTGTAAGGTAAATGTAGAATGTAGATGAAGAGCAGGAGTTCTGTAAGGTAAATGTAGAATGTAGATAAAGAGTAGGAGTTCTGTAAGGTAAATGTAGAATGTAGATGAAGAGCAGGAGTTCTGTAAGGTAAATGTAGAATGTAGATAAAGAGCAGGAGTTCTGTAAGGTAAATGTAGAATGTAGATAAAGAGCAGGAGTTCTGTAAGGTAAATGTAGAATGTAGATAAAGAGCAGGAGTTCTGTAAGGTAAATGTAGAATGTAGATGAAGAGCAGGAGTTCTGTAAGGTAAATGTAGAATGTAGATAAAGAGCAGGAGTTGTGTAAGGTAAATGTAGAATGTAGATAAAGAGCAGGAGTTGTGTAAGGTAAATGTAGAATGTAGATAAAGAGCAGGAGTTCTGTAAGGTAAATGTAGAATGTAGATAAAGAGCAGGAGTTCTGTAAGGTAAATGTAGAATGTAGATAAAGAGTAGGAGCTCTGTAAGGTAAATGTAGAATGTAGATAAAGAGCAGGAGTTCTGTAAGGTAAATGTAGAATGTAGATAAAGAGCAGGAGTTCTGTAAGGTAAATGTAGAATGTAGATAAAGAGCAGGAGTTCTGTAAGGTAAATGTAGATAAAGGGTCACACCATGGATAACGATTATCTACCTTATCATTATCTTCTTGATTATTGGTTGGTCAACCAAACAACTATAATTATTAATTAGATACCTCATAATTAACTACCTCATAATTGGGGTATCCCCATGCGACACGTTGTTTAGTAACAAACAGTGGCAATGTTTTAATGACTCCAACTCTGTTTTAATACTTTCAACACTACCATATAACAAATAATTTGAGTAGATGGTATTCAACATGGCCGATGGATTACTGATGACGACTGCTTAAAGACAGACAAAACTATAGTATTAAAGGCTGCGAAGAGTGTGACGAATTGGAATGTATTTATTGTTTTTCTGAATCTGGTGTAGTATCATTGCTTCATTGGCTTTATTGAAATGATGAATGGCCCAAACATCCAACTCTGTATGATGAGTTTATTACTAACATCCGACCACTTTTTATTCGTCATACTTTCAATATATGGGGTATTATTTTCTCTGAAAATGGTGTTAGTACCTGTTCGATCAATTAAATTGACGATTACCTTAATATTTCGGTTTCAGCTTAACCCCTACGTCATGAGTTGAACCGAAGGATCAAAATATTTGTTGCTTGTTACTCGTATAAACTGTAAAACATCAATTAACTTACTATTAAAATAAACAAATATGCACCACCTCTCTCTTCTGCTGAACAGGTACTTACTATTAAAGAAAACAAATGTGCATCACCTCTCTCTTCTGCTGAACAGGTACTTACTCTTAAAGAAAACAAATGTGCATCACCTCTCTCTTCTGCTGAACAGGTACTTGCTATTAAAGTAAACAAATGTGCATCACCTCTCTCTTCTGCTGAACAGGTACTTACTATTAAAGTAAACAAATGTGCATCACCTCTCTCTTCTGCTGAACAGGTACTTGCTATTAAAGTAAACAAATGTGCATCACCTTTCCATTCCAAGGTGGAACCTTGGAATGGAGCCACGCCAAGTGCAGCACCAGACGATGACAAAACTCATGAGATGTTTGGGTTCCAGGATCTTGCGAGTGACAACTATCAGGTCATCAGACAGAAGGCAAGACCAGGTTGGTGTCGTTTTGTCTGGGGCATTTTCATCCTCATCCTTTTGATTTTCACAGGATTCATGGTCTACCAACTTTTAGCAGACTATTTTCAGTACAAATCTTTCGTAGAGTCCCACATTTCATGGGAGACAAATTTAACATTACCAGCCATAACAATCTGCAACACCAATCCCGCTTAACTACACAAGACTTAGAGAGGGATTGACGAATGGGAATGTTTCCAGACTGCTGCGGGAATTTGAAGGTTTGATGGACGAACAGGTACTTACTATTAAAGTAATCAAATGTACCTCATCTCCCACCACAATCCACATCTATTAACTACCTGATAATTGGTCCCAGTTTAAAGTTCCCATGCGAACTATAATTAGATAGTGATACCTCATAATTAACTACCTCATAATTGGGGTATCCCCATTCCCCATGCGACACGTTGTTTAGTAACTCAAAGTGGCAATGTTTTAATGACTCCAACTCTGTTTTAATGAGTTAAGTACTAATATCCGACCACTTTGTATTCGTCATACTTTTCATATAGGGGTATTGTAGTTACCAGTGACCGCCACTTGGATTAGCCCTATATTTGGTCGGCAAATGTCACTTATACTTTGATATTTCATTTTCAGTCCAACCGCGATTCAATTTTTTCATTTTATTTTTTGTAGCTTCTATACCATAGACGATTATTTTATTGGCATTTACTAATTGCACGACTTTTGTTTTTTGTTATTGTTACGATCCTCCTTTTTGCTGATTATGATTGTAGTTTAGTAGTTTAGATGATGTTCTTTTAATATCGTACAGTAAAACCCCGATTTACCGCGGAGTTTGGGGAAAGGAAACATCTGCGGTAAATCCGGGTTCGCGGTAAATCCGGGTTTTACTGTATATAATTGTAATTATTAGATTAAATTTTTATTTCATTCATCTTTACTAGCCGCATCGAATATCCACAATTCCTTCCTGGTGCTAGTAGTACAGCAGTAGCGAGGTTTTTGATCCTTGGACCATGCAATCAACCCTACGACTCCTGCACATAATACTCATCGTAGTATTTACTACTACTTTAATTGTGGTGCTTTTATCTTCGTTCCTTGGAAGTAATGACCAAACCTTAAAACCAGAATTTACTATCGAAAGATATTCTCAAAAAAGTGAAAGCGCTCACTCTGGTAGGAAGCCTAATAAAACTGACTATTCTTCTGGACAGATAAAATATCGCATTCAGTTCACATACGAAGGAAAATGTGTAGGTGTGTCAGAAAATAACACCCTAGTTGTATCTTACTGCAATCCTAATGTTAAACAAGCCTATGTCTATGATTCTAACGGCATATTCACGTTTGAAGAGACTGATCTTTGTGTTGGACTTAAGTTTTCGACAGATTTAGGACTAGTTCATTGTGAGCAGGCCATAAAGTTAGATCTATGGAATGGGAGTTTAATTCACAGCGTAAACAATAGTGTCCTCTGTGTATCACCATTACACGATAATAAACCCACTTCACAGCCAGAATTGGGCGATACTATTGCTCTTACATCATGTGATAAAAAAGCTTCTGCTGTACAATTGTTAGAAGAACGATCATTTCTTAAAGATAGGGCAGCACTTTTGTTGCCGTACACTTCAAACAGTAAATGTGATTTTCCAGCCTGTGGGACTAACCATCGTGCGCCAAAACCTAAACATCTATCACCACTGAAGACAGAGAGATGTAACGAAATCTCAGACTGCGTAACAGTCGTGGTAAAGACTGCCAGGAGGCCTTTATTGGCAATAAGGTTGGCTAAATCGATACAAACAACCTTAAACCGGAACTTATCCATGATTGTTATCGACGATGGACCTGATTTGCATCCTCCTGAAATCATGGACCAAATCGGTCATATTCCGAACATGACATACATCATAGGCGATAGAGAGGACCTGGGTATCAGTGAGGGCCGGAACATAGGGGTG